AATAAAAATTTCGAAGGCAAGCCGTGCCTATTATCTGGATGGACAAATACAACAGTAATGTTTAATTTATGATACAAAAATTTTCCAATTATACATAATCAGGAAAGAACTCTTTCTTAAAGTAATTTTATTATTTTCTTTTTATATAAATATAACATGAAATTAGAAATAATAAGTGTAAAAAGATATTCTAACAACCATAATTCTGCTGCTGTTATTCATTGTTCGATACTCGATGTAATAAATAATAAATTATCCTTTTTAGAATGGAGACTTGCAACAAACTGAATTGACAGTTGTTAAGCAAAAAGAATGCGCGAAAAGTCACTGGGAACTGACAGAAAGCCATATCTGCGCTACAGCTCAAAACAGAACGAATGAATACAAGGTGAGTCGTCGATTATTAATATGATACAATAAATCAATTATATATATATTTTTGATATAACATCAACAGATTAATAAATGAATCTAACCATTCAATATCATTTTGTTACGTATCTATCACATAAATATTGCGTAAAAACATCTCACAGAAATAAAAATGATTATAAAATTTTTTAAATATTGATTTTTTAAATATCGCTATTAAGAACAACAATATAAAAAGCAAATGTTATATATTTATTAATAAAAAATGTTATAGCGTAGCAAAATAAAAAACTTCATGTTTCTTCTACTTTACTGCGCTATAACTTTATATTTATATTCTTATATTTATATACTTATGAAAGTAGAAATAATATTAAAAGACTCTAATTATATGTCGACTGAATTTTTGCATTTTGACATGAATTGATATATTTACATCTTCTATATATATTTATAAAAAGATATGAATCTTATAAAATAGTTTAATACTAAATAGTGATCTAATTAAATTACTTATATTTAAATGAGTATAATAAGTAATTAATTATACAATAGTTTTATATGTCATTTTATATATCAGTATTTTCATATTAATTACATTTTCATTCAAGGACGATCTTGGTGCACCTTTGATCGCTAATGGTGTTCAAATTGGAATCGTTTCCTTCGCCTGTTCCTGTACTCTTGGACAGCCAGATGTTTACACAAGAGTGCCCAGTTTCCTGTCTTGGATCAAAACAAATTTGAAGAATTAAGAGATATTTCATTTGTTTATTACCATTAGGTGTTACGAAATTTATAATTCAAAGTAACAGTAATAGTATAGTTTTTAAACAATTATTTCTGCGAAATGTATGCTTTTTTTCAATTAAATAAATTATCAATATAAACAGAACAATAATAATCATCAAAGTTGTTTTTATTCTAAGATTTATTCTCAGTCATCGCAGTTATCCGCAATAAATAATATCATTTTACTTATATTAAATTATACAAAATTGAGATAAATCTACATGATACTGTTATAAATGAGTTAGACAAATTTAATAAAGAAAAATTATTTAAAACATAAATTATTATAAATAAAAAAAAATTCAGTAAAAAAACATAAAAATAGATGATTATGTTATAAATTTCAAAAATTAAAATAGACATGACGCATAAAGTTAAATATTTATAGATAATTTACAGTAAATTGTCTTATACGAATAAGATTCCGAATTACATATTTCTCATTCGCAATGTTAATACAATAATTTCTAATGGCTAAATAAATGGTATCTGAATGAACGATAGAACTTTCGCAAAAGTTCATATCACATTTAGATGTGGTTGGCATATTAGTTAAAATGTTAAATTATATACAGTT